GGTCCCGGGCTGCTTTGGCATCCTCAGCCACAGCATGCGGCCAGCGGAGGGGCTGACAACCCTCGCCCCGAAAGGGACAAGCTGCTGTCACCAACCAGCCTGGCATTTCAACCCCCCTACCCAGCAAATATCATCTTCCCCGAAAGATGGTACTGGAGACAAGGAGGGAAACAATCCCTCCACTTGCTATTAGCAAAGGCACGGCTATTGAGGACTATTTTGTTTCTTAAACACACTGAAGGAAAACAGCAGTACATCAGAAACGCAGGGTTTCTGTGACATCCCCGAGCCCCACACACAAAGGGAGAAAAAGGGGAGCCAGGTAATTTTATCACTTTTTACCTTTGGCCGTCTAGAGTTTCCAGACAAGCACAATGGATGTGTTTTTAGTCAAGACCAGAGGCATCTGTAGACCCTGACAAAGGAGATCCGTGCCCTGGAGCAGGGCTCTGCTCCCCGCTGCAGCGGTACAATGCATGGGGAAGTACATTTGTTTTCAGGGCCATTTTACACTCCTCCTAAAAGGGCTTTAAAAATCAGCGCCGGTGTAGGAGTCCAGCCCGACAAACTATATCAACTCACGTGCTGTAATTCTGGTCTCTCACATAAATAAGTACATGTTACTGGTATTTTAAATATGCATTTAGGGACTCTTATGGTGATTGACTCAATAGAATGTAATAGGTATCATGAAGTTCTTATCATCCTTAAATAACTCCCTAAATGCTTATTTATGTGTAACGGTAGCTTTTGGATCCTTCTAGCCATTATACTTTAAAGTGTAATAAATCTCTATTTAGGTGTAACTGCACTGCCATCCTGCAGACTTAGGAGATCTAAACCAACATATGGTGTAGCGTTTGTGGGATATGGTGGCATAGACTGATGCAGGTCTAGTTGTCATCTTATTTTCCCCTTGATATCTGAATCTTAATAACACTAAATGCAATTGAAGAGTATTTTATTCCTTTGCATCCAGTGAAAATCCTTGTGGCAGTATTTTTTTCAAGTCAAGCATTTTAAAATCCTATATGAGTAGCAGCTCCTTTTTCTACGTAAATAACTTGTTTAATATTTATACCACACAACATTTAAAGTTTTTATCATAAATGAAAGCCCCTCAAAATTTTAAGCTGAAAACAGGACAGCTGTGGAGACAAATTACAAAGTTGTGGGGTTTTCTTGTTGTTTTTTACATTTTATTTTTAAGTTTTACTTCTCTCAAACATTTAGTTCATAATTCTTTCTTCTGAAAAAAAAAAAAAATTACTAACAAACATCCCAAATGCTGTACACATGGACAAACCACGCATGACCTCCCAGCTTCCAGGATGGCTGCAGTGTCCCCAGAGTGGGCTGTTCTCCATGGCATCTGAATAGAAGCATCTCCAGATGGAAAAAGATTTTGATCTTTTATATTTTGCTTGCTTTGTTGTGGTGTTTTTACACCACTTACAGCTTAGTTCTCGGTAGTCATGTCACGTAGAAAATTTTGATGTTATTTAGGTGCACATGCAATTTGATGACTTGTGAAGGTTCTCCTACAGAACAGTATTTTGTCTATTCTGACATGTTGTTCTTAGTAAAGAGAATTTAATATTTTTTTTCCCTTTTGTGGGTAAACCAGGATACATTGGGAAGAGAGGAATACAAGGACCACAGGAGGGACTGGCCAGCGAGATCCTAAGAGAGAAAAGTAATGAGGTGCTCAGTGATGAAGCAGAACGTCCTTCCTAGAGGGGACAAACTGGTCTGAGAAGACATCCAGGAGCTGCAGGCTACAAGGGACAACTGGGTCCCAGTGGTGACCCAGGACTGAGAGGTAGCTGGGGAGAAAAGGGTCCAAGGGGGACAGAAGAGAAATGGGTGGGAAGGGCTGGAAGGGACACATGGGCTCACCTGGTGTCTGAGAATCATTGGGATATCTAAAGGAGACTCTGAAGTCCCTGTGAAAAGGGATCAGCCTGGAAAACATGGGCTGGCTGGATTTCCAGGTTGAAACAGAAGAGAAAGGGCAGAGGGAAAATGGGGGAGAAAATGAAATTGTAGCTTTTCCAATGGGTCTTCAAAAACACATAAAAAGCAGCCTTCTGCTTTTTTTTTTTCACCCAGCAAGGGTGAATTCCTGCTGTCTATTTAGTGCTGCCTCCAAGTGACATTTAGGAGGCTACAGCATACCGAGTATGTAAGAGAGGAGAAAAAAGTTGTATCCTGACTTGATGAATTTATCTATTGTACTGTTTCATACGAAAATATTGATAACATCTCAGGAAAATTTAATGTCAGTCTGTTTTCAGTTTAGTTCAGTTGTTTTGTGATAATGAGTAAAGGAAACCAGAACACATTTCAGTGTTCTCTGAATAGTCTCTTTTCCAGTTTGCCTTCTTGATATTTGAGCATTAAGATTTTAAATTACCTGTTATTACAAACCTGGCTCATTTTCTGTGCTGCTTTGGTTTTCACTGTTTCTTCCTTTATTGTATTTCCAAACCAGATTTTTTTAGTTTATAAGTCTACCCTGTATCTGCAGGTCTAGACTTTCTATTTTCATTCGTGGACCCCTCTGGGAGGTGCTCTTTGAATCTCCTTTGCTGATCTCGTTGACGAAATGCTCCATTAATTTAATACAAAATATATTTACACAGTTTGCTGCGTCCCTCTGTGTTTCAGAATGGCATCCAGGGAGAGGATCCCGCAAGGACGAGGTTGCTGTGGCCTCATCCAAGCTCAGGACCCCGCTGGGTGCCAAGAGGAGCCTCAGGCTGTGGAGGAGTGGAGAGGTGAGGGTCTCTGCTGAAATCCTTCCTTTCCTCCCCATCTCTGATAATGACGGGGAGCTGGCATTAGGGCTGCAAGGATTACTGGCTTCAAGGATGCTCCTTCCCCGGGGAATTGCTTTGCGCTGGTTAAAGCTTCCTCCGGGATGCACTGGTTTTCCTGTGTTTGCTTTTGCCAAGCCCCAGGAGGAGCTTTTAGTGACCCAGCAGTTAGGAGAAGATCACAGCCCTTCCTCCCCATGGCTGGCAGACGTGCCGGTAGAAATCAAGAGCACGGGCTTTTCGTTACTTAACTTTGCAAATCTCAGTCAAAAGCAGTTATCTGCAAATATGCAAGTCTAGGAGTGTGTTTGAAATGTGCTTTGAAGGAATTTTAATGGCCCACATGCATCATTTATATCAGTAAAATGTAGATCTAGATCCCCTGAATAAACAGAGTGATTAATCTAGTGCTAAATCTTAATTTGCACTCTCAACCCATGCGTTTTCTAAACTGCTTCAGTAACTCAGTAAGCATTGTGTAATTAAAAAACTGCAGTTGTCACATACCTAATACTGCTACTCCAGACTGCTACTATTCAATCTATCCATGAAAGTACACTAACCCAGGATTAAAGCTGTGTTTCTTGCTTTAGCTTTAGTGTGCAGCAAATATGGCATTAAACTGAAGTCTGTGAAAGAGTAACTTTGGTGAATATGGAGGCAACGCTATAAAATGCAGTAATCTTGGTTAAAAATGGCTAATCTTCTCCCGCTGAATAACTTGTTGCTAATGAGAAGACTTGAGTTAAGATCAAAATAAGGATTTTGTAGTAATTGCTGTGATTCCCTTTTATCTTCAATTTATGCGTTCACGATCTTGTCAGAAATACAACTGCTGAAGACACAAGCATTTTTAACTTCAGTTTAAAACACTGAGCCCAATTACAGTACTGAAGAAGGTTATTCATTTTTTAAAAAGACCTGTTTGAATTCAGGATCCAACTCTGTTCTCAGCAGTACGAAAGAGCATCAGTGAGTGCTGATGCAGGTTCCATTGCAGGAGCTGTGACAAGCCCACGTCCTACGTGGGGTTAGAGCATCCGGCTGCAGAACTCTAATTGATTTCTTTGAAATAGCCTGAAAAGCTGGTGAATCAGTCTAGCCTGCTATGCTTAGTAATAGACTTTCCTTGATCAACTTTTTATTGCTGAAAGCTGTAGACTATTGTCCAGGTAAGGGTGGTCGCAAATAAATCGTGGAGGATTACAGTTCTCTCCGCTTACATTAAAGGAGAATTGATTGTTTTCTCCAACCTGCCTGAAACAAGCAGCCTTTCTTGTCCGGCAGCTGAGCTTTGAATGTACTGGTATGTAGTAAATTCAGACTGATTGAATGAGACCGTTTCCTTGCTCGTATTTCACCAAGACAAGGCAATGAAAGGCAGCCTCACATTCTTGTGTTTCGTACTGCACTCTGAACCGGGTTGGAAAATCTAAGAATAAACGCTGGCCCATTTTGAGGTCACCGGGGAAGGAAATAAGTGCTGCGATTGCTGGGAAAGAGCGAGGAAAATAGCCTGTGAATTCCAGAGAGGTTATCGGTTCCAATAAGAACAATGTTGTAGCAACCCTCCCTGGGTGGATTTGTCCCTTTTCCCAGAGGAGTTTTGTTCTGCACCCGGCTGTGCAGCACGGCCGCCCGCAGGTACCCTGCTCTGCGCCGGGGGTGGAGGGAGAGGAAAGCACTTGCTTGCCTCATCTCCACATTTACCTGTGAGAGCCCAGATTTGAGGCTGAACTCCCCTTTCGGCGCGTTTCCACGCAGGCACGTGCACACATGCGCTCGTGATCCCATAGAGCTATTGCTGTAATTTCACTTTTATCCTTTCTGAACTCCCCACCGCGAGGAGGGGAGCGCGATGCCAAGCTCTGCACACCAAATGCTGAGAGAGAAAACCTGGACCCTGCTGAAGCGAACGGGCAAATTCACGTTGGCTCTGATGGTACCAGAGCATGACGCTGTGAGTTGAAAGAGGAGTGTCCCTAAAGCCCTGAAAACTGGTGCTGGGGGAAGAGCCAAAAAAATCCCATGTGAAGAGCAGCGTCCCAGCCCAGGGAAAGCGTTTGAATTTCCTCAGGTTTCAATGTCCCTTTGCTCCTTTCAGGGGACTTTGCCAATCCCCCTTTCTCCCTGCACCGTACAGGCTCTCATTGGCCACGAGAGCAGCTGTTACACAAATAAAACTGATTCTCTCCCCAAATACGATTGTCTTTTTCAAAGTGCCATTGAGGGGGGGTCATCCTGGGAGCAGGACCGTTTATAAGGTAGGAGATAGCACGCACTCTTCGTTTACGTCGTGGTTTAAGCGCTCAACCCAGGACAGTTTAGCCTTCAGGTGGGATATTTGCAATGAAGTCATAGAATTTAAGACATAGTGGCAATATAATTTGTCTCAAGTCGAGTTACTGTCTGAAATTAATGTATAGCTGCGTGAGGACTAGTGTTTTTCTTTCCATCTATAAGAACTTGAAATAATTAAATAACAGAAAGTGCAATCATCTCTCTGATATTTAAAGCTGGGAGACTGAGGTTAAATACCTGTTGTGAACTGGAATATCTAAATGCTATAATTTTAGGGACCAAACAAAAGAACAAGTGTATTATTACAATGTTATTATGGGACACATGCTAACAATTAGTAGATACTTAGATCCAATTAAATATAGATGGACTGAACGAGATGTCACTGCAGCAAAGTTTAAGTCTTCATATTTTGTATCCACTGTGAATCATAATCTTTCCTGGTGGGGAGATTCAAATGAATGATTTTAGAATCAGTGGTGAGCTAAGGTAATGAAAAAAGTCCAAAATTTCAGTTTTATTACAATGCATTTATATATTTAGGAATAATTATTTTAGGAACAGTCTTGCCCATTATGATGAAAATTTGTTTAATGATTCCTTGCTCTGAGCAATTTATTTTCTAAACAGACTGGTAAGGTATCATTTTTTAATTAACTATGTTTTTCCAGTATTTGACAGCAATCCATCCATCTGGCTACATAGCTGGAGAGCATCTGGCTTTAGAGCTTGTTGCAGAAGTGGTTTGTGACACTAAAACATAGAAACGGGTTTGATTCAAACACTGATTTACCATTTCCCCATGCAGTTACTAGGTCTCTAAGGTCGCAGTTTCTTTCTGCTGCTGGCTTTAGGTGTGTGGAAGTTATGGGTTTATTTAGTTATCTCCAGTGGTGGCAAAACACTCCCACATCGTGAGTGTATTCTTCAAAAGGAGAATTTGGTGCTTTTTTTTTCTCTTCTTAGACAGCAGATGACCCTCCTTCTCCGCGACTGCGGCTGCTTCCCTGCTGCTGGCTGTAAGGTCTGGCTCCCCTCTGCCTGCCTGTGCTGAGGGCTGCCCTCCCACGCCGTCGCCCCGGAGTTAAACTCTTCATGGTAAGGTTGGCAGGGGCTGGTTGGGAGCAAATACGAGCCTCTGACAAAAAATCAGCCCCTGGTATCCTGCCCTAATGCGACACGCTCGTGAAGAAGGGGTAATTTACCCTTTACGGGAGCTGATGGGGTGAAGAATGGGTTGAAAGGCAGCAACGAGCAACAGTGATCACTGAGGGTTTTGTGTGGGTAACCAATTTTCCGTTAAGCGGTTTGGTTTTGTGTGAAAATGGAAAAAATCCTGACCCTTTCCTCTAAAATGGAATTGTTAAAGATGGAAGGGTTATAACCCAGCCACCAAATACCCGACTTTGAGTCAGACCTCCTTTTGCCCTCTGGGCAAGGATAGTCAGAGTTTCTCCTGGTGACTTTTTCACTAATGAAGTGCCTTAGCTGCTTAGAAAGGTTAGATTACAGGTTCAGGAAGAAAGGGAGTCTGTTCTGTTTGTATTTCCAGGTCGGTACACTGGTTTAAAAAAGAAACAAAGATGCTTTATATGACAAGTCATCTGAGAGGCGTCATCTGTCCTATAGGAAAAAATGCACTCTTCTTACTTTGTTCTTCCTAGTTCAGCTAAATCAACACTTAAAAAATAAAAAGAACGGACCTGAAAGTTTACACTAAAAGAATATGCAAGTCCAGAAAATAGTCAGTAACAAAGGAAAAAAACGACAGAAAAATTTTGGAATACTCGATGTTTCATTTTGTTTCCGTTTATTCTTTTAGAGCAAAGCTTTTTATAAAGTGCAGTTGTGTTGGACTCTGAAATCATTATAGAATTATTCCTGGTCACCCACTCAGAAAAAGAGACATCATGTGTCCCAGTGATCCTGTGACTCTCAGGCTGTCCCTTGGGCTTCGTGGAGCACTTCCAACCGCGGCGAACAGGAGCGGCTGGTCGGCAAGTGCTCTGCAGGGTGATGGTCAGTAGGGGTGAGCAGGGAGGAGGTTTTGCTCACTTCGTTTTACTTTCCCCACAAAAAGTGAGGCTTTCTAACGTAGTCCTCCAAGCAGGTGCCCACGTGTGCCTGACGCTGTTCACGCGGGTGTTCTGGCCTCGTGGGGAACATGCGGATGCAAAGGGTTTTTTCCCCTTAAAAAATTTATCCTCACGTTCTTCTTTTCCTACAGCTGCCAACATGCGGAGCTCCCCGGGGCCCGTCTCGGCGTTTGTGATGCTGGTTGTTACCGCCGTGCACGCGGGAGGGAAGGTGACCCCGGACGTGAAGTACACGAAGACGAAGCCCTTACAGCTGGTGGGCAGCGGTGCCTCTCACCCCCCCCTCACCCCTCTCGTGGGCAAAAGCCCGTTCCCGGGCAGAGCCAAGTTACCCACCCCCGGCCCCGCGGCCACCACGCTCTTCCCCTTCGAGAACTACACGCTCGACACAGCCGATTTCTTCTTCAACTGCTGTGACTGCTGCCCTCCTGCCGCGGGGCCCCGGGGGCAGCCGGGGGAGCAGGGCCCCCCAGGTACGGTGGTGATGCCCATCTCGGCCCTCTCAGCTAAAGCACATAAACCCTATCAAGGAGTCTCCTGCTTTTCCTCCAAGAAATGAGCCAGCGAGACTCGTGCAGCAAGTGCCGAATGTGGTTATACCTTGCGTAAAAAATGCATGCTAGCCACCTTCCAGAAGTTATAAAACACCAACATGAGTGGGAAAGCCCCAGAAAAGAGCTTCCCCCCCCCCCCCCCCCCCGCCAAAGCACTCACTTTGGGGACCTCAGTGGCGTGGGAGTGTGTGCAGAGCTGGCCCCACACCACGTCGCTGCTGGCGGGTGCCCCATGTGGCCACGCTCTTCCATTCTCCCTCCCTTTTTCCGACCCCCTGGGAGTCACAGATTTACTTTCACATTCACTTCAGCCATGGTTTTATGACCCTCAAAACTACCTGCAAGCAGTTTTGCGTCTTTGCTGAAGGCTTATCTTTTTCTGGGATTTCTTTTTTCCCCTTCAAACTGAAGAAGTTAAATACAAAATTAATTTCGGGTTCAAATTTTAAAATAAATACTTGCTCTCACAGGAGGCAGCTCTGTACAAAGCACCTATATATTTTATAAGACATACTTTGTCTTGTTTTGCTACTGCTAAAACACATACCTATGGAGTGCCTAATTGTAATACTGCTATAACGAATAGTGCATTAGTCTGCAAATGTTCACTTTAATAGCAGTGATATTGGAGATAGAAACTATTCGTCTGAGGAAAGGTGGTAAAATAATGAAATAATTTTCTTTTAATACAATGTACTCAAGGGATTTTCACTTCCCATAGCTCCAGGGGGATTGGCTAATGGAAATTATAGTGGCTGCAGAGGGAGTTTGCACTCAGATGTCTCTAGAGTGTTGATGGAAAAGTCCTTGTGTCAAATCAGTTGTGTTGTGATGATTGAAGCTGCCATAATCTGCTCCCAGACGTGCACGGGGAGTCTCTAGATTCCCAAGTGGATGAAAAAGTCAAAAAAAAAGATTGAAGCCAGCTTGCTTGCCTTTCAACCCATCCTTTATGCATCATGGAGCCGTCTGCCAGATTCCACTTTTATATTTGCAGACTTAATTCTTTTTAAGGTGAGGGGCAATTCCGAAGCTATGGGAGCTCCTTAGATGTGCTCGAATATTAAAGACAAATTACTTCTGACATTTTATGAATGTCTGAGCTCCTGTGGCTCTGAGGCGGCTGAAAATCGGTTTTAAGAAGTCTGCAACTACAGCCAAGAGTGAAATGCACCACTGTGAGGTCTGGGGATCGCAGTAGCTGAAAGGCAAAGGCTGGGGAGCTGTGTGCCTGACCAGGGCACCTGCGAGCACGCACCCCACTCATCCCAGCGTGGGCAGTGCGGCGTTGCCCCTACCACCCCTCGCCTTTCGCCCCGCTTTAGGGTTTCAGCTGCAGTGTCTGCAAGGCGTGGGGGGGGGGAGCAGGGCTCAGGCCAAACCCCTCCGTCTCACCTTTTCTTGGCATTATTGTATGATCTCAAATAAAATAGCCAGCTCTTGCCAGGGTGATGGAAACAGTTTGCCTTACACGCATTCCTCACTGCCACGTTGCTTAGCTAGGATTACAAATTTTCTTTACAAAGCTAAACCTTTGCATCACTAAGACAATTTTGTTGATGTGATTGCGTTACAGGGCCCAAGGGGGAGAAGGGAGAGGCTGGTCTGCAAGGTCTGCCGGGAACGCCAGGTCCTCAAGGTCCAAAGGGTTCTAAAGGAGAAAGAGGTAAAGAGGTCTAAGTGCTCATTTTGAAAACGGTTGCCGTTGTCCTCATCGAATACCACAAAATTAGGAAAAAATATTTTTAAAAGAAAATGGACTATGTTGATAGGGGTTGACACCTTGAGAGGTTTAGCTGGCATTAGTGCAGGGACAATAACTCAGATAGTGGTAGCGTATGCACAGGTGGTACAGGAAAAACTGCTTACAAATCCCTCACTTGAAACCCCTTGTTCTGAATGGGAGTTTAAAAAATGAGTTCAATTTGCGTTGGATTAGAGACATGAGTAGGAAAAAAACCACCATGGAAGCTATGTGCAGGTGTAAAAGCTGCATTTCAATTTAAGTATCTCGGGCAAAATATTTCAGCGAAGATGGAGAGCAATTATTATCCATCAGTAGTAACCAAAAGGAAGCCCTGGCCTTCATTTCAGGCTCGGAGCAGCTCTGTTCTGCTGCCACAGGCCACTGGCAGGATCCCACGGCTGCCTTTGGTCACGGAGAAACACACAGCAAAGCTGGTAACAGGGGTGCTAGCGGCAGCGTGCTGCGCAGCTCATCAGTGCAGTCTCTTAGGCTTTGATTCACTTCTGGGACAAGACTTTTGGCAATCCTGGAGTGAAAAACACAGAGTTGTTGTCTTCTCCATCCTGCCATTAAACAGCAGCAACTGCCTCCCAACGAGGCGCTGATTAGAGTTAGAAATCCAATATCTGAGTGGGATGCAGCTGCCTGCGTGATGGTGCTTGGTGCTGTGAGGTTCAGCGGAGGTTTATGAAGGCATTTCTTGAAAACGCACATTTCTCATGTCCTTTTTATTAATGAAGTGAGGGACACGCGCAAAACGTTACCAGTCATCTTCTGTGTAATGACTGCTGTGCTGCAGAGAACACTGCCAGCAGTATCTTAATGGTGAAATGTCCTAGGAGGCAGAGGGGAGCAAGGCGAGCGAGGAGTAAGTGGAAACCCCGGTTATCCAGGCAAACCTGGGCTGCAAGGTACGTAACACAGGCTGGGAAACCCAGGAATACTGCACTGACCTATCCCTTTGCTGTTGGCGATGCCCTTCTGTCTCCGAATCAATCCAATATTAATGCTTTTAATCTTTTTTTTTTTTTTTTTTTTTTCCCCCCCACTTTGCCCTTTTCCTAGGTGAAGCTGGAGTAAAAGGCAATAAGGGCAACTACGGCTTCCCTGGACTGAAAGGACAAAAGGGGTCGAAAGGGGACGCTTGTGAGAACGGGACCAAAGGAGAGAAGGGAGATAGGGGGGATGCTGGAGACCCGGGAGTGGATGGAGAACAGGGTGACAAAGGGGAAAAGGGAGACACAGGGGAGAAGGGGTACTGCGGGGAGCCAGGGGGAAGGGGTGCGAAGGGAGAAAGGGGGGAAGGGGGGACAAAGGGAGAAAAAGGGAGCAAAGGGGAGATGGGGGTTGAGGGTGTTCAGGGGGTGGATGGAAAACAGGGAGAAAAAGGCGAGCAAGGAAGTAAGGGTGAAAAAGGGGACCTGGGACCCGCTGGCATGACGGGACCTTCTGGACCCAAGGGGGCCGCCGGCAGCAAGGGGGGCCGAGGGGCCCCGGGAAAGAAAGGGTCCCGTGGGGCGAAAGGCGCCCGAGGGGACACCGCAAAGCTCCTGCGATCAGCCTTCAGCGCCGGCTTGTCCAAACCCTTCCCTCCGCCCAACGTCCCCATTAGATTTGACAAGATCTTATACAACGACCAAGAAGATTACAACCCTTCCACCGGGAAATTCAACTGCAGCGTGCCCGGGGCGTACGTCTTCGCCTACCACCTGACGGTGAGAGGCCGGCCGGCCCGGGTCAGCCTCGTCGCCCGCAGCAGGAAGGTGGCCAAAGCCCGTGAGACGCTTTATGGCCAAGAGATCGACCAGGCATCCTTCCTGACCGTCCTGAAGCTGAGCGCGGGCGACCAGGTTTGGCTGGAGGTGGCGCGGGACTGGAACGGGGTCTACGTCAGCGCTGAGGATGACAGCGTCTTTACGGGGTTTCTTCTGTATCCGGACGTTTTTGAGATCCTGCTGTAGATTTAAAGGGCAGAGGCGTTACTGAGAAACGTGCTCTTCCCTCTGCCTGTGAGAGGAGGAACGAGCGTCCGTTGGGCACATCGGTTTAGCGGCTAGGTTTTGTGGTCTTTTAATCTAAAATACTTGCATTTGCAATACACGGATTAGTTTTAGCTAGCAGCCCCAAGAAGCGGCACGTCCTTTGCGCAGGTGGGCGGTGGCTGTGAGAAACCCTTGTCTAAGCACCAGCAGGGCGGGCGTGGGGGGGGGGATTTCACATCACAGGTTTCAGGTTTGTAATTAGCTTGTTCAAATTAAGTAATGACACTCATTGTCTGATGCCAATTTTAATCAGGCCAGCTCCTGTAATCCTTTCATGGTCAAAACTCCTCGGGAAATCAGTACTGATAACCATTGGTTTTGGTAAAGACTGCAGAGTTTGATTTATAGAGCTTAATCAGACGTGAACAGAAGCGGTAGGTTTCTGGAAATCTCATGAAAAGATTTAAAGTTATTTTATCACTGAGTAAGTATTATCTAGTACTTTAGACTTGGTCATGAATTATATAAAGGTTTGTCTAAAAGAGTATTAGAGCTATTTGATCAGTGTAAAAAACCCCTAACCATTGTCCTTAGGCAAAAATATATCTGAAACTTTCAAAAAGTAACTGAGAGATGCATAATCCAATTTATTAGGCTACTCAGTAACCCCCTGTTTCTGAGCTGTGATTCAGCTGATGCTGCGGGGTCGGCCCTCGGCTGCGGGGAAGAGGAGGAGGAGGAGGAGGAGGAAGAGGCAGCCAGGAGCAGGCTTTGGCACCCACATGCGTCTTAAGGCGTTGTGATGGCCCAGAGAACATGTGGGCACATTTTAAAAAGCTGATTTACCAAAATGGAACTGAATCTTCTGAAATAAAGGTATGATATCAAATAATCTCTGGAGATCAGATTGGGTGTGTTTCCTTATTAATGCACCTCCTCTCGTCGTAGTAACCTTATGCCACCTTTGGCACGTTAATTATGGCACACAAAATAGTTCCACCTTTTTTTTTTTAGAAATAAAACTCAAATCCCATACTTAGCCTCTAGCGGCACTGGGATTTACTTGTCTTCACAGGCAGTTGCAAGTCTGGGACATTTTCCCAGTGATTTGATGAACGTTGGATCTGACCCCAACGCGGACAGGGTGAATTTGGCTATTCTTCCCATTGGTCTCAGTTTCCTTGCTTAAACTGCCACGGTGTTTTCTGTACCATATTTAAATACCATCATAAATCACATCCCTGTCCCTAACGTCTTCTTTTTACACAGCACCGAGATGAAGAATTCCTGAGACTTTTTTTATACAGTGAGAAAATTAACACCAGAGAACTGCTGTTAAATTTTAAGATAAAAACAAGGCAATTTTAAAAAGCTGATCCTATCTATCTGGTAAATGTAAAGGGTCCTTCAACTCATCAGCTTTGCAGCCCTCTTTCAATATCAGCAATTCAAATAGGAGATGTGCTGTCTTTGTCAAAAAGTTGATAATTATTTTGGTATTTAATCCGAGTTAGTTCCTATGAAGTTCAAATCCAGAGTAGTAAATATATAAAAGATGCAGATTTCAGTTTATGAATTCTCTGGCAGCTGTTAAATATTGAGGAAAACCAAGAAGTTATTACAATAATTTTGGATTCCTGCTGTCACAACACCCTCAATTCTTTTATTGTGCCTTCATGCTCTTTCCTGTATGGCCCATGTAACAGATGGTGGTATATGGACATCTGACTAGTAATTTTCTCCTGCTGAAGTTTCTTACACTTTTTGTATAAATAACCTCTACAAATGCTCTTGAGAAAGTAATGCAAAAATTCAGAGTCTCTCAAGAATCTGCTCAGATGTAATCCTCTCCATAAATTAATTGCCTAGTCCTCTAAAGAAAAGAGGAGCTGGCAACACTATGCAAACTAAAGAGCACCTGCTTCCATTGCAAAATATCTGTGTAAAATAAACCCGTGGAGGGGGCAGCCACCTTAGGAGACTTTGAGCTGGTTAAATCCTGCAAAGGTGCTCTGGGAGCAGGTGAGCAGGAGCAGCTGGAGACAATTCAGGCCCTGAGAAGGTCCAGACTCAGATTCTGGGAAGGACACGAGATGCACATGGCACAATTCCACTGATTTCGACACCCCCTTAATGGATATGGGAGGGCTCCTGTGCTAGGGACATATTTTATCATTAACCAAATACCAGTGGAAGGGATTTCTGCCTGAAACACTGACTGGGAAGGCAAAAAACATGCATAGAAGTTACTGAAATAACACACAGCTCCTTCATATTCATAAGTTTCTTAAGGTCTATAGCTGTGCTAGTGGTGCTTTTAGTTTCATTTCAAGTGTTGATGTTTATTTTGAAAACCGTTTTTTCTTTAAAAAAATAAAAAATTAATTAAAATACGTTAAACAAGTATCTTGCAAAGTTGAGTGTGTTAAGCACAGTGAGGGATGGTTTGAATAAATATGGATCTTTGTAGGGAGGGCATTAGCTTTATCCAATATCAAATTGAATTAACAATAATGCCTGGAAAATATCGTTTCTCTACATTATTATTTTTTCTACTTTGGTATCCTGGCCAAACCTAGGGGTTGTTTGTTAACTGAGTACTTTGAATCCAATCAGTCCACAGCTGGACTCAAAACTTGCTCCAAATTAATTGAAATTTTCAACACAAACAAATGTACACACCTCCTCCTTTTACAAACAAAGACTCACGGGGCTGGTGCCTCAGTAAGATTTTTCTTTCTTGTAAAGGCCTTGTGAAACCTCTCTGCTCAAAGGGTTCCAGAGCTTTAAATTCAGCAGATCTGCAGGAAGACTGAAATGAAGGAGAGGGGCAGAGCTGCCTCCAGCCTCCTGCAAGCCTGGGCTTCACCCCTTCCTGCCGTCTCCCACGTAGCCTCCTCGAGACCACTGGGCTACAAAACTTTAGTCCAAGCCATTTTCCATTTTAAAAGGTCTTTTTTTGTTGTTTTTTACAATGGCATTTGCAACCTCACTGCTGTGGGGAACTTTGGTGAAGCGTTCTGCTGCAGTGACTTTTAACTGAAGCAAACTGTTCTGTAGGATATTTCAAAGTATTAAAAACCCCCTCATTTTTATATGGCTTTACCTCATTTTTCATGCCGTGTCACAACAACAGTGAATGAATTGATGGAGGATGTGCTTTGTCTCATTGTGTAGCACTGCTAAAAAATGCCAAAATATTTGTTCTCTACTTAGGAGAGACTTATTTTGTAAAACTATCTCCTGTCCGGGCTGCAGTGAAGCAGTTTGACACTGGTATAAGAGAAAATAAATGCTCAGTGTACTAATCAGAAGAGCAGCTGTTTTTAATAACTAAGAAAAATCATTCCAAGCAGACATAAGGCCATAAAAAGCAGCTGCTTCTTTAATTAAGACATTGAGGGGTAAATCTGCAGAAGGATTTGGGTACCTCGCTAGCAAAAATGTAATGGAGCCCCAAGTTAGGTGACTAAGTATGAAACCAAGGAAGAGTGAGGGATACCAGATGGCTGGATCCTGCGCAGTCGCGACTCCTTGCTGCAAGCGCTCTTCCTAACCACGGCAAACAGCATGCCGGTGGGAAGAAAAATAATTCTTGGTACTTTGATAAAGCCCCTCTCTGACACAGCTTTGCTTTATGCCATCGCTTTTGTCTCAAAGTAAATAAAGTGTGTGGAGTGGTGTCAGGGCAGCGCTGAACTCGCTCTCACCTGGCACAAATCACACCGTGATCAGCTCTAACGAGATTACAAAGCTGTGTCAATTTGCAGAGGAAAACACCTCTCTCCTGGTATTTTTCATGCCTTTTCATCCCTGTCTCGGATGTTACACAGATACCACAATGTTAGCACTTATTTTCAGAATTTTGCTGGTGGGGCTGTGCTTTTTTTTTTTTTTGCCCAGAGACCCTCTCCTACACCACGTAGCCTGGGTCTTTCGTTCGGTGGCGTTCCAGGTGCCCTGGGCTCCTGAGAGCCACCGCTCCCTTTCAGGCAACTCCTCTTGCTCGCCAGCTGAGCTGAGTTTGCCCCAAACGAAGCCCACCTGCAAAGCCCGAGGGCTGCTGAGTTGGTTAATAAAAGGGCTAATAGCCCACTGGCCACCTTTGGGAGCAGAGGTTGTGGCTTGCTGGCCGTGGCTAGTAGAAGATCAGTGAAGCCCTTGATGAAGTCTTTCTCCAGGATCGCTGTGTCGTGTCCCAGGTCACAGCCAGGTAAGCAAGCTCTTGCTGTTGTAGACTGCTTTGGATGAAAACGGGTGTGTTTTGCTAAAAGCATGCTGTTTTCAAGATAAGAATTCGTAATAGGTTTAGAAAACGCAATCATTCATAATTTAGGTATTTCACTTGAAATATGCCTTGCTTCTTCTAGTGCGTTGTAACTTTGCTTACAACTACCTGGCTGCAGAAAGACCTTCTTAAAAGGAGAAAACCTACTTTTCAATGTGAATTAAAATGGATTACAGTGTGATCACTGCTAGTTATCTACTATGCTTGTAAAACGCTGGAGCTTCTTAATAGGGGTTATTTATCAAGCAGTGTGCAGGCTGGTATTGTTTTCTAGATATAGACACTATTATTTATTCGCAGTAAGAGCTCTGCCACAATTTTATGTGCCCTGTCTGCAAAGCTGTACCTCTGAGGCTGGAGTTTTGGAAATATTACTTGAAGCTATTCCAGGATGGCAGAGTGCTGCCCCATGCAATGATTTAATTTCAAAATGAAAAGGGTTTGATCTTGCTAGGTGTTGTAAGGTCTGGCTTAACGACAGCTATAATCTTCTATAGAGGTGCCTGAACTTAAAAGTCAATGTTAAAAGTTGTAAAGTCTATTGGGGGGTAAGTTTGAACCACTTTGAGTTTTCATGGCTTGCTCTTGTTTTTTTGTAAATTAATCCTTTTTCAAGCAGGCTTTTTCCATTTTGATGAAAAAGCTTTCTAGGTGAAGTTCTACTTGCTGCAGCCACAACTTTCATACTTTTCCCTTTTATAGACAATCTCTTAATAAGATAATACTTGAGGATGGATGGAAAATGTATTGCCTTCCTCTTAACTATTTTTTTTCAGGTTAGGCTTTGTTTTGAAACCTACAAACAAACCTGGTTTAAATTTAAGACCCTCCAAACTTTGACTCAAATTAAAAAAATAAAGAGAAATAAGTCATGTTAGAACTGAGATATCTCTGTATTTTTTTAATGAAAGAGGTATTTGCCCTTGAGATGCTGGGGGGTGAGTGAGGTACCAGGCTAAAGACCTGACATCAAATCATGATATAAGGTCAATCCAATCAAGTAAAAAACCATGCGTATATTTGAAGAGAGTAAACTAATAAATCACTTGAAATTTTCTGACATTTGATCAGAAAGCACTATGTGGCTTGTTCCACAGCACTTAAGTCTTGTTTTGCTATAAGTCTTGTTTATGGTCAATGTATTTGAAATTAATTATGGGACTGTGTCCAGGAGTATTTTTTTTTCCCTAAAAAAAAAAAAAAAGAGGAGACTTTGGTTCACTTAAGCCTGAAATAGTTGCATCTGAGTGTAATCTGCAGCTTTATGTTTGCAGATGCCAACGCAAATGGATGTTTTGATGTGCCTGTGTATTCACTACAGGATCATGCAGGGGGGGAAAGCAGTGCTTTTCCCTTTCATTATTCGCATATGTAAATGGTGACAAATTCCTGTAGACATGCCTGACCTCTGGAAACCTCATGGCTGCGTTGTCATGAGCGTTGGTGCATGTGGCTGGTAGAGACCACTGCAAATCCCGCTTCGGGAATGTTGTTGTGTCCCTTTTCCTCCCTGTGTGTCCAGGATGC